TTTGCTGTGCCGAACATGCAAATGAATACATTTGTGCCCATACAACTTATTTGGAGTTTCATTGCTTTCATTTATTTGCTGTGAATCTAAGTCGGAGTTTCTTTGGGGAAAGAGTATACAGGAAAACGGTTGGTATAGATCCTGGTACTATCATCTGGCTTTGCCAAGTCATATTAGCTAAGTGTTATATCCTCACATATACCTGTTCACAGTAATTCAGCAAAAAGAATATTCTGTGGACACGCCTTTTGTCTTCAGTTTAACCATTCAATCCTTTCATCTCAATATCAGTTGGCACTGTAACCTTTGTTACTCTATCCATTTTTATGTGGTGACATGGCCCCATGTTGTTGATCGATAACACGTGCTAGCGATAAAAGGAAATAATTGACGGAGGGGGACTTTTTGTTTGTGAAAGTGCTCATGGGTTGCTTCTATTTGTTGATGTTGTAGCTTATATGCCACATCTGAGCCTCCTCTATGGAGACCTGACAGATGAAGAGAAGAAGAAAGCTCAGGAAAAAGCCAATGACCTCGATGGGAGCTTAAATGGCCTCAGCTTCCTGATCTCTCGCCTCGCACTGTACAGAACCGACACGGAACATAAAACTTGTCAATCATGGGAAAAGATAGCAGAGTGCAGCCTCAATGCGAGTTAGATTCTGCTTGTAACCAGTATCCCTTTCCTTATGTTCTCAACAGTCTGAAAACCTCTTGTGTTCTCTACTTTGTCATCTGGTGTTGGGAATGTGACTATTCTATGGGCATGTGCATCCAATGTCCTTGTACATTTGTAGATTGCTCACTTCCAATTTATTTTCCCTAGAAATTCGGTTACTTGTTTGCGGGAAGTGATGAAAGGTGATGGATTTTTCAAGCCAGGGAAAAAACAAGTGAACGATATTGCGGAAAGTGATGAGATTACTTGGTTAATTTCATCAGACTCTCCTCTCACTTCATTGACACCAGCCCTCATTCTCTCTTTCTCAACTGCCAGACTTTCTGATGCACTTAGGGGACCGGCGGACCCGTTATTCAATTGAACGAACCGGCGGGCTTGAAGTCAACGATGTCGGATTGAGCTCAAATTTGGTTGGCTGAAGCGAAACGGCGTGCTGATCAATACTCATAGCCTTTGGCTATGATTAACGATGGATTTTCGCGATTCGGGGTTCTTTAGATGGTTTTTTTTAATTATTTTAGTAATTTTCGAATTAAGGGTATTTTTGTAATTTTTGCATTTTTTTTTGTCATTAGGATTAACACCCTTTATAAACTCGTTTTTAGGGTTTTGAGAGGCAGTGGTTTTTGGATCTTTTGAAAACTTATCGATTGTTAATCGATTGAGAGAACAGTTTGTTCCTCGTTATCGTTTCGATTCTTCTGTTTAGCCTAATTTCTATCGCGCTTTGGCATCAATCGGTATCAGAGCACAGGTTGCTTGAATCAATGGCTGAACAGAATCGCGGTCGTGAACGGTGGGCTCGTGGTGGCCGAGGGCGTGGAGGCATTCCTGAAGCAGACGACCAACCGCGTCTAAAAGATCTGCGAAACGTAGAAATTGAAGAACAGAGAAGACGAATCCAGGATTTGGAGCAACAACTTGCGGAGGCGAGGTTGGGTGTTCAATCCGTAGAAGCAGAATTTGAGGATCCATCTCATGATGAAGAGGAGGACGTAAACCCTTTTGAGGTTATGAACCAGGGGCGGAATCGAGGAGTACGACCTGGAAATCAGCACTCTTCGCAAATTTTCGGGATGAAGATCGAGATTCCGGAGTTTAATGGTAAGGCTCATCCTGATGAGTTTATTGATTGGTTGCATATGGTAGAACTGATTTTTTTTTATCTTAAAGACCTAACTGAGGGGCAAAAAGTGAAGTTAGTGGCTATTAGGCTGCGAAAACATGCTTCAATTTGGTGGGAACACGTGAAAAAGCAACGCGCTAGAGAGGGAAAACCGAAGGTGGATCGCTGGAATAAGATGAAAAAGTTATTGCAGAAAAATTTTTTGCCTACCCATTATAGGCAAGAGGCGTTTATCGAGTATCATAACGTCAAGCAAGGTGATAAAACAGTTGAGGAATTTACAGAAGAATTTGATCGCTTGCGGATGCGTTGTGATGTGGCGGAGGAAGACGAGCAGACGATTGCACGATATCTGGCAGGGCTGCGATATGAGATCTCTGATGTTGTCCAATTACAGTAGTATTGGACATATGAGGATGTGTGCAGACTAGCCCTAAAGGTGGAGGGGCAGTTTAAAAGAAAAAGCAGTAATTCCAAGTGGTCAAGCAGCAGTTCCAAGTGGTCAGATAAAGAATCCCAAGGAAAAGCGGGAACATCTGCAGTAAATTCGACACCGGTCACAGTTAAGGATGTGAGTTCTAAACCTGCATCCAACGAGGGGCAGAGTAGTGCTGGAACTAGCAGGGGAGGAACTGCAGCCAAGCGGTGTTTCAAGTGTCAGGGATTCGGGCATTTTGCTGCTGATTGTCCGAACCGACAGATTGTGACGCTTGTAGATAATCCAGTCTTTGATGAAGGTCCAGTTTATGATGAATCTGAAGGCGAAGAAGAGGATGCGGATGCGGAACAGGAAGAGATTATCTATGCTGATTCTGGTGAGTCCCTAGTCGTTAGAAGAATATTAAATGTTGATGTAGCGGATGATGAATCGTGGCTTAGACATAATATTTTTCATACTAAGTGTACTAGTAGAGGAAAAGTATGCAGCATGATAATAGATGGTGGGAGTTGCGAGAATGTGGTGTCCACGACTATGGTGGAAAAATTGGGGTTGAAAACAGAAGATCATCCTCAACCATACAAGCTGTCATGGCTTAGGAAGGGGAATGAGGTAAAAGTGAGCAAGAGGTGTTTAGTGCAGTTCTCGATTGGAAAAAAAATATACTGATGGAGTGTGGGGTGACGTAGTTCCAATGGATGCTTGTCATATTCTGTTGGGGAGACCTTGGCAGTTTAACAGGAAAACACAGCATGATGGATTCAAAAATACGTACACCTTCAAGAAGAATGGTCGAACCATTACCCTAGGTCCTTCAGATTTGAGAAAAGAAGGGAAAAGTAATCTGCTTTCCAAATCAAAATTTCAAGAAGAGGCAGTGAATGCGCCTGAGCTTTTTGCCATTGTGGTGATAGAGCGGAATTTTGACAGTCTCAAAATTCCTACCCAAGTTCTGCCCTTGCTTGAGGAGTTTGCTGATGTCGTACCGGAAGAGTTGCCACCTGGGTTGCCGGGTGAGCACAATGTTTCTGGAACTTTTAATGTAGCAGATTTGTCACCTTACTACACTGAAGAGGAAGAAGACCCTGAAGAGATTGATGACAATGAAGACGAAGTAGATTCGAGGACGAATCTTTCTCTAGCAGGGGAGGATGATGCACTTAGGGGACCGGCGGACCCGTTATGCGATTGGACGAACCGGCGGGCTTGAAGTCAACGATGTCGGATTGAGCTCAAATTTGGTCGGCTGAAGCGAAACGGCGTGTTGATCAATACACATAGCCTTTGGCTATGATTAACGATGAATTTTCGCGATTCGGGGTCCTTTAGATGGTTTTTTTTAATTATTTTAGTAATTTTCGAATTAAGGGTATTTTTGTAATTTTTGCGTTTTTTTTTGTCATTAGGGTTAACATCCTTTATAAACTCGTTTTTAGGGTTTTGAGAGGCAGTAGTTTTTGGATGTTTTGAAAACTTATCGATTGTTAATCGATTGAGAGAACAGTTTGTTCCTCGTTATCGTTTCAATTATTCTGTTTAGCCTAATTTCTATCGCGCTTCGGCATCACTTTCTTTCAACAGTTCCTGTTTTGACCTTAGATTAGGCAACTCAATAGTTTTCAAAACAGTCTGAGCACAAGGAAGTATACTGTCTGTTTGATTCCTGAGCACCTCTTCTATGTATTCTGCTACTCCATCCTGCTTCAGATGTTGAAGTTCCTGCAAACAGTACTGGAGCCATTTCTATGAGACTAGTTTGCAACTGCAAGAGTCATGCATTGAGAGATCGTAACTCTGTTTATACCTGAATTTGGCCAAAACTAGATGCAGCTGTGGCTGATTGTGATAGTTTACATAATATTTGGCATATTTTAAGTGAAGAGATTTGAATTTTCATCGACGATGTTTTGTTCTGCAGGACCTGAAAATTTTAAAAGTTTTCTGATGGTGAACTTACCAATTGAGTGGTCTAATTGCCCATACTTTTCAGTTGGGTTAGCAGAAATTATACGAATTTAAACTGAAATGGTCCAAGCTCAAGAAAAATTTAATCTAATCCGACCTGCTATGAATGATCTTCTCATCTTCGTATCTTCAAAGTAAAAAATTCAGATATGGTTGGTCTATTGTCTACTGTTTCATGCATCAATTTGTTATTGTGATTTTGCGATGCATGTCTCCGATTCTTGTTGTGTAAATGGACCATTCCATTATGCATTATAATCTTTCTCAACAAAAATCTCCAAAACTACATTTAGTGACCAGGTAAAAAATCAGGATAGATAAACTTAATTTATCCTATTTAGTATAAGACTAGATAAAGGTGAGAAATAACCCGAATTAAAAAAAAAATCCCATACGGGATTATGATAAAAGTGAATAGAATTTCTCATGTCTGGCCATCGAGCGAAGACCGCCACATATGTTGCGATAAAAGCTGATCTTAGGTTGCTGTCGCCTCCGACCGCCATCATCAGCCAACCGATCGTGATCTCCAACTGGAGCTTCCCGATCGACATCTCCACCTTTGCCCAAATACGGTGCGATGGCGGAGCTTTCATTCATCGTCCCTTCTCATTCACAACTTAGCACGTCCTCATTATTATATACGCACTTCACATGCGAGGAGGAAAAGTTTCCGCCATTTCGTACCTGTAACTCGATCACATCCACATGGGAATCGTAGAAATCTAGCGACGTACTCCATCTTCGCCGAGCTCAACAACAACCCACCAACGCTGGCAACTTATCGGTGACACTGTTTTTTTTTGGTTGTGATCCAGCATAAAGAAGCATGACACATATAGTGCTCCTATTAAATCCAAGGAAGAGTTAATATTTCATGTTGGTTTTCGTCAATTTGTGGCAAGGTATTGTGACAGTAGTTGATTGGAGCATCTCGCTATATTGTTGTTTATTGTTTGTTGGAGCTAGCCTGCTAATTTCTATTGCTATGCAGACCAATCTTCTCCACGGATAATATGAACTCAGACAAGCACAAAATGGAGAGATTTCTTCATACTGGGCGTTTTTCTGTAGCATCAATCTATGCTCCAATATCTTTCCCTCCTCTCCCTCTGATAGCCTTGAAGCATGCTGAAGATGGTTCTGCACCAGCTGTTGTAGCTGTAGGTTCCTTGAGAAGCGTTGATCCTGACAGAATAATTCTGAAGAAAATCATTTTGACTGGGTAGGGATTGAGTGGAACAATTATATCACAATGCTCTGTGTGTGCGCGCGTATGCATATGCATGGGATGATTACAAAGTTCTCTATGTAATATGGGTGGTCAAGGGATTGATTTCATGTTCTACATAACTTCAACATGAATATGTAACACACAAGCATACAGTCACTAAGATGAGAAGTTTTTAGGTGCTCGTATCTGAAGACTGGATTGGCTTAGGTGATGGTAACGTGGCTTCAGGAACACTACATAATGTCATTACACACACACACACACCGTCTCTTGACCTTTCTACTGTCCTGTTGTGCATCAGGTTAAAAAACATTACACTACTGTGCCTGTTGTGTGTTGGGTTAAAATTGAGGTGAAAAGCAAATTACAAGGTCAGATATGTGGGTTGGAGTTAAATCTAATCATAGCAAAATATTCTTTTGTTTATTGTTAGATGAACTAAAAGCTTTAGCTAAAACTTTCCAGGATGAAATGAAAATAGGTCATCAATTTTAGACAAAAAAGTACATTTAGCTCTTTGGTTTAGATTGTATCAATTGCTATTGGTGGCTTTCAAAGTTTATTTTTGTGCATTCAATATTGAAGATGGAGATGACTTCTCTGTGGTTGAGGAGTACTAGTGGTGGTAGTGGTGGATGCTTTCATGATTTTGGTGTGTGCTCCCCTTTCTTGCTTTTCTGACATTTAAATGTTGGCTATTTCTCGACGCATGCCTTCAATCTTACGTTATACTGCATCCTGTATGACTATACTTGCCTGCAAGTTCATCAATGACAATAAACATACTTATTCTCGAGATATCTCGTGTTGCAGTTACCCTCAACGTGTGTCTAAGTTAAAAGCCTCAGTCAGAAACATGTTTCACAACCCAGAAGATGTGAGATGGTTTAAGGTAAGGGATTTGCTACTGGTCTAATCTCTCTTGTATCGGATTTATCGACGATAGATTTAATCCTCGTGCTCATTGAAACTCTTCAAATATTGGTTGCAGCCTGTGGAAGTTTGGACAAAATGTGGCTGTCGTGGTCGTATTAAGGAGCCTGTTGGTACACATGGCATATTTTCAGAATCCTTTCTCATCTACTTGAGAATATCTTTTTAATGGAATCTAATTGTTGTAGTTCCACTCTTGGTGCTAAGTGCTAACTCTCCTCTCCTATTTTCGACTCAGGGGCAATGAAGTGTGTTCTCAATGGAGTTCTTCAGCAACATGACACCGTATGCATGAGTTTGTATAAACGTGCATATCCCAAGTGGCCCGAACACCGGTTCCCCATTTCGGATGCTTGACCAGACGGACCGGCGGTCCGGTATGGTTGGTATTTAATCCAGAATCACAGATGCAGATGCTTGGGTCTGTGAACGGAATGAAGCTCTGGTTCAGAATATGAATTGTAGGTAAAATTTTGGTGGTTTGCTCACATGCTGTAGTGCGAGATACTCATCCTGGTGGTCAATTTTTTGCCCCTGTAAAATACCACCCATTGGGAATTTAGAAGCATCAGTAATCTAGTTTTTCCCCATTCTTTCGAGGGTTGGAGCCGAGTTGAATTCCTCTGGCTTGCTTTTGATTGGTTCACCATCTTTATTTGGTTAAAGTTTGGTAAATATTATGTGTTGCGCTCTTTAGTATGACATGAACTCGTGAGAATTTATGCATCTGTATGCATTACCTCAGAAAAGGGAATGTTTCTTTTTGGCATTACTACGTTATAACAGGATATAAATATGCTCCAAAGTATATGTGAAATGGATAGACTGACCCAACCCGAAGATTTCGTGGAAATGGACGATGCAGAAAAGCTTGATCCTTGTTCCAATTTGTGACTAAACATACGTACACAAAGGCACTGAAAACCCTTGTTTCCGTTGATCATTGGTAGCTAAAATACAATTTGAACACTCGGTAGAAGACACTGATAGGGAACAGACGAATTCCATGCCTTCTATAACACCTTGGTGGTGTCTGCCTGTCAATATTTTTATACCCTCTTGTGGTCAAACAAAGTATAGATCTCCTGTCCATTTGTTTAGCAATACAATAATCAGATTGAAAGGGTTCTTCGATTTGATGCATTTCTATCCTGCTCAACTCTGTCCTCAGACCAATACTTGTTGGGGGGATCCTCAAATTTTCGACGGGAAAAAGTTAACACGACCATTCCAGGTCCATGGATACAGAGCCGAGTAAGCCGAAAAGAAAGTGAAGATGGCTTCGCTTGTGCACACCCATCTGATGTGGGACTTGGCGCGACTAGGCCTTTTTCATAGGATCGTAGTACTAACACGGCAAACTAAAAAGGCATTTAGCATTTTTATTTCAGATTTTCCCCTTAACATTTGGTCCTTCCTTTCATAGTAGAAATTTCCTTGTGTTCTGTTGATTACTAGATAAGGGTGAGCATCACTCGATTCTCGAACGATTCATTTCTAACAAGATTGAACAATTTCGACATGCACAGTTCATTTTCCAAGCACTAAAGACCTAAATCCGCATCGAAACTGAACTAACCCAATCGGAGTTCACCTCTGATGAGGACCCAATAATCTATGGGACGCCAACCTCATTTCCATTAGGTCACATGTGATATGATGTTGATGTAATGCATCTGGTCGGGAGAAACACATATCTGATTCAGACATGTAGGGAATCTTCAACTGCTCTTGACCAGAAGTATATCTTATATAAGACTTTATTTTCCGTCATAGTCGTGTGAAGGTAACGCAATCATGTAATAAATTCGTTTCGTAATGTCATTATTCTAGTTCTAATTTTCCTATACACTCCAATGGAGGAAAATCATTTTCCTAAAAATGAATTCGTATATTTCGCGAAAAACGAATGATTTGCAAAATAATTTCCTAAAAATGATTACTTGTATCACATACAAAATTGAATGAACAAAAAAAAAATGCATTCATCGTTCACTAAAGTATTTAGACATAAACTGTAGTCGAAGTGATACAGGCGATCATTTTTAGGAAAATATTTTTCAAATCATTGATTTTCCGCGAAATAAACGGAGCCTAAAAGTTTAAAAAATATGGTTAATATTACGACAAATCTCAAACTGGTACACCTATGACAGATTTACCCTAAACTATTTTTTTTTACCAGAAAAAACCCCAAATTGTTACACTTGTGACAAATTTACCATAAACTAATTTTTTTACCACAAAAAATCTGAAACTGATATATTTGCAACAAATTTATCCTCTGTTAATTTGGATTAATATCACGAAAAATCACAGATTAGTACACTTGTGACAAACGGAGGGTAAAACCTCAAACTGGTATACCCGTCAACTGTCACATGTCATCCAACTTAGAAATTTGACGGTAAAATTTAACGGAAACTAATGAAGGGTAAAATTGTCACAAATGTAACAGTTTGGGGTGTTTGTGGTCAAAAAAATTAATTTAGGGTAACTTTATCATAAATGTACCAGTTTGTGATTTTTCGTGGTATTAAACCTAAAAAAATAAAATCTTGTATATTTTTCTTTCCCGTTTTGTCCTTCATTGTGTTGGACGGGACATACATTACTCGGTGACCCTAGAGAAAACAAAGGAAGTGCTGGCAAAGGGATCAACACAGATACTCACGAAGGCAAATTATCTTTCCTTAATATATTTTTTATTTTTTTATTTCATTTTCCCGCCTAGTTAATATACGAAATTCCTGTTTGGTCTCAGCTGAGGAATCTTCGGTCGTTAGTGGCGCAAATTTTCACGTGCGAGGATTCTCTTTGACCCGTTGACTTCTCATCAAACTGACAATGAGTAATCAAGTGCACAGCCCTCCAAGAAGTTTGTCATTTTCCTTCGTCTCTCTCAAACGTGAACCCTGCCACTTCGAGTATCTCGGCCTCGTGCCCGTCACCATGGACGAGGCCAGATCCGGAGGCACGACTCAAATGTGAACCCTCCTCCCACTTCAAGTCTCTACAGCTTGAGCTCGTTGAAGATATCCGCAAGAGTTGTTCTGTTTCTTCCTCTTTAGTCCTGTTTCTACTGATAAAGAAAAGACGAAGCTATCTATGGTATTCTCTCTTTTTCTCTTCATTGATTTATTTGTCTGAATTTTGTGTAGGTTTCATCTTTGTCTTTGTTAATCTGTTCTTTTTCCAACTAAAATGATTGTCATGCAGGAGACCAAGACTGAATTTGTCGAGGGGAAGGTGGATTGGAAGGGAAGAAAAGCTTTGAAGCACAAACATGGTGGGATGAGGGCTTCTTGGCTCATTCTAGGTAGGTACTAATTTTACTTCGATTGTCACTGCTATGATTGTGGTCTTGTACGCCAGTAAAAGGGTTATAGGACCTCTCGGAGTTTCACGTGTCGATTTCTGGATGGATGATAGTCAAGAGGTTCCTACACCGTGTTTGTCTCACTATGCCCTTATCGTCTAATTTGAACATCTACTAAAGGTACGCGAGCAATGGCACATGATCCTTAGGGAGGACCGAATAGCAACTCGTATTTGAGCATCCCACAAGCATTTTCGGGGGTCAATGCTGTGCAGTCAGAGTACTTAATTGATGAATGAATTTGAACTGACTTGTATCATAATGATCTAAAGCAATATTGACCCTTTTTTATTGTCTCATTTTGGCTTAAATTGCAAATTCTGCAGGGGCACTTAGCTTGGAGATCGTGGCGACTTTGGCACTCGCTGTCAACTTGGTGACATACTTCAATGGAGTGATGCACTTTGAGCTAGCTGATGCAGCTAACCAGCTCACAAACTTCCTGGGGACTTGTTTCATCCTCCCCATACTTGCAGCCATTCTCGCCGACACTTTCATCGGCAGATTCAAGACCGTCCTCATTTCAGCCTCAATCGAATTCCTGGTACATATTCCCTGAATAATTCGTTTAAGACTCCATAGCAACTGAATTGGCAATTGGTTTCACTGGTGATCTCTGAACTTCGTTTAGACTCGAACGAATTATCTATCATTAGGAAAGAAGAGTCTTCATCGATTACTAGTGGATCCCCGTCGGTCACAAGTTTTAATGTTTGGCCATGTTCACACATTGATTCCTCCAGATTTTAACTGACTCTAATTGTGAAGTATAGTGAAGCCCCTTTATAGACTATGGATGAGTTATGAACCCATCAAAGCTCTTGAGCAACTCAACTATACTTAGGAATGCTCAAACAGGGACTGGCACTCCTAACAGTGCAAGCTCACTATCCGAAGCTTCGACCGCCGCCGTGCAATGTACTTGATCCCACTTCCCACTGTGAGAAAATCAGCGGCGGAGATGCTGCTTTCCTATTCCTCGGCTTATACTTGTTGGCCACTGGCAGCGCGGGCATGAAGGCCTCCCTGCCAGCCCATGGTGCCGACCAGTTTGACGAGAGAGATTCAAGGGAGGCAAGGCAGATGTCTACCTTCTTCAACTGCTTCTTTCTGTCTGTGTGCACCGGGGGGATGGTGAGCCTGACGCTTGTTGTCTGGATCCAAGATAACAAAGGATGGGACTGGGGGTTCGGCCTGTCTACCATTGCCATGATCGTGGCAATAATCATCTTTGCCGCGGGATTGCCGCTGTACCGGATTCAGATAGTTCAGAAATCTAGCACCATCATCGAAATCATTCAGGTATGAGCTCATCATCTTCTTTCATATATGTAGTTCACTCCTCCAATTTTTGTTTTGTCACGATTTGTTGTTTTGTGCAGGTATATGTAGCTGCAATCAGCAAACGAGATCTTCCACTTCCCGAGGACCCAACAGAGCTTTATGAACTTGATAAAGATGGAGAAGCTGCCTCGGAAGCAGAATTTTTACCTCACACCGACAATTTCAGGTTGATTCCATCTTTAGTGAGGAACAGCAATGTTATGTTGTAATTGCAAAAATAATAAGCATACCGGTTCAACTATTCTAGTTCAGAAAAAAATGCTGAAGTCATGGGAAAATCAAAAGTAATGACCTCCAAAATTGAGCAAAAAATCTCAATTAAACTGCTTCGATGTTCCTCCTCTTATTGCTTGTTAGGTTTCTTGACAAAGCAGCCATTCGGAAAACTTCACCAGTGCAATTCGGAGGTGAGAAAGTGCTGAATCGATGGGCGTTGTGCACGGTCACACAAGTGGAGAATTCCAAGATCATAATAGGCATGGTCCCTATCTTCTGTTGCACCATCATCATGACCCTATGCCTTGCTCAGCTCCAAACCTTCTCCATCCAACAAGGCCTAACCATGGACACAAGCATCACTAGCTCCTTCCACATTCCGCCAGCCTCCCTGCCCGTCATGCAGACCACTTCCTTGATCGTCATCATCCCGGTCTATGACCAGGTCTTTGTACCCTTTGCACACAAGCTCACAGGCCACCCGGCCGGCATCACGCAACTGCAGCGCATTGGGGTTGGCCTGGTCCTGTTCTCTGTCTCAATGGCCGTGGCTGCAGCTGTTGAGGTCAAGCGAAAAGCTGTGGCGAGGAACCACCACATGCTCGATGCGGTGCCTGTGCTCGAACCTCTCCCAATCAGCACGTTCTGGCTGTCCTTCCAGTACCTCATTTTCGGGATCGCGGACATGTTCACAAACGTGGGGCTCCTTGAGTTCTTCTACTCTGAAGCGCCGAAGGGGCTCAAATCAGTCTCGACTTGCTTCCTCTGGAGCTCCAAGGCACTCGGGTACTTCTTCAGCACGATAATGGTAAAGATTGTGAACAGCGCGACAAAGGGGATAACAAGGAGCGGAGGCTGGTTGGCTGGGAACAACATTAACCGGAACCATTTGAACCTGTTCTACTTGTTGCTTTCCATGCTTAGCTTGATCAACTTCTTCGTCTATTTGATTGTTGCGAGGAGGTACCGGTACAGGACTAAGTCGCCGGTGAGAACAACACCATGTGAGGAAGTGAGGGATAATAATGTGGAAGAGTCAAATTGAATCACATCAGAAGTTGAATGTTGCTACAGTTTGGTGTTCTGAGATATCATTTGGTGTTCATGACTGGAAGCAATTGGTAATTGGGGTGCAATGATGACGACTAGCACTTGTGATCTTCCCATAACGATCTATTTTAATGTTAATTTCTCTTCTTAATGATAATGACTAGTGCTTGAGACATCAACTAAAGGACTAAAATCACGGGAAAGGTTTAAGAAATTTATCCCTATAATTGGAAGATAAAGCATTATTTTACTGGAGAGTATCACTTAACAATTTGACGTAGTAAAGTTTACAATCACACATCTTGCTTCGAATAAGTTTTATTATTGGAGTTATAGATATAGATATATAAGATCTTTCTGTACTACATATATTATAGCGCCACTCTGAAGAATCACAAATCAATCTATATTTTGCTGCTTTTGTTCATCTTCTGAGACAATTCATTTGGTGTTAGTGCTATGGATGAATTGTCGGATCGTTGAGAGGATCGATTCTCATTGTTATTTTGATGGACGGATGACTTTTGTGGCTTGTTATGCAGTGTCCCTCAATGTTGTTAATGTTTGTTAATTTAGTTTATGGATGGCGGAGACTCGTCAGGCTTGCTTCTCAATGATGTTATAGTTGGTTGTGGACTTCTTATTCTTCTGGCTTATGAAATGTGGTTTTTGAGGATTTCTTTGCATGATGGATGATTATATTATTGTATTGCAGGTTATTTTATTTTAACATAACAGGTTTTTGATTTGTTATGATATCGTTATATGGTTTTTTTTATTTTTTTATTTTTTTAGTTTGGTCATTTGGGGTTCAGCTGCATCAACCTCGTATGTGCAAGATTCCACACAATAAGTACCTAGGAAAGTGTTCTTGCTGTTAAACTTCTTCCCCGAGGATGTTTTCATGTTTAGTAGCTCTCTAGGAAAATGCAAAGAGATCTCCGAAGATTTCTTCTTCGGATTTCTTTCTCAGCTCAACATTAGGGAGAGGAACTGTAACAGTCTGAATTTTCGATCCTTTTCCCGGGATTTAAGAAATGAATATTTTGGCCAATGCACTTATAGTGAGATCTCACCCGGGACCCGCGCATTCTCGGGATGCTAACCTTAGGGGTAGGGCTATTACGGGATTGACTTCGCACGACCAAAGAACTAGACCTGAGTTCGATCTTCGACCATATGGATTGACGAGGGAATGTTTTGAGCCAATCGAGACCGGTCTACTTGATTGATCGTGTCCGAAGGGAACTAGTGACAGACTCTCGCAATTATATGAAAATCGAGGTCGTCTCGGGTGGAGTAAACTTAAACGTGATTTGACTTAGTGTCGGTCACGGGTCGAGAGCGCATAATTCCAATGAGCCACCCGTTAGCCAGAGATAAGCTAAAGTTGCAATTGTCCAATTTTAGTCATTTCTTGGAATTCGGGCTCGGGAATCGAGAATTTTGAAAGTGACAATTTTGAGCGGCCGATGACGTTTTTGGCTTGGCCAACCTTGGGGCCACCCATTTCTGCAAAAAAATGGATTTCGGTCCGGGACCCGGAAAATGACGATTTTGCCCCTCTGGTCACCGATGGCGATTCTGAAGTCGTTTGAGGTTATTTTTCGAGGCTAGTGTCATTTTGGGGTGGCCACGTGCATTTAGAGTTGTTTCGGTAAAAAATTGGAATTTTGGCTCGGAAGTGAAAAATAATATTATTTTATTCCAGAAACTTTGACGTGGATTTTCGAGGGCTTGCGCGATGAATTTCGCGATTCCGACGCCATATTATGTTGGCCACACACATATGGAACACGTACGTGCGAAAATTGAAATTTCGGTTCGGGATCGAAAAATTACGAAAATGCCCCTAGGGCTAATTTGGCCAATTCCGAATTTTGGATTTAATTTTGGGATTAACCAAGGTTGGTTAGAGTTAATCCAGGTCTGGTCACCCTTGGGTATGTGGCAAAGGACCATTTTACCCCTAAATTATTGGATGAGAAGGAAAGATAGCCATTGGATCAAGGGCAAAATTGTCCAAATGGCCAAGATTTTGACACTTGGACTCCACTTAGACCATCTTTGACCCATTTGACCAGACCCTCTCTCTCTCCAACAGACCATTCGGCCATTTCCCTCGCAGATTTCCTCTTCTTTTCCTGTTTCTGTTCTGTTTTGCACGTTTCTGCATTTTCTGGTCTCTGTTCACGCCGGAACAGTACCAGCCCGAGCTGCTGGCCGCCCACCAGCCGTCGCCACAGCACCCTTGGACCTCCCTCTCACCTGTTCAGCCACCACAGCCCCGGTTTTAGTCCAGAACAGCCTTCTCTCTCTCTTTTTCTCTCTTCCCGTTCTGCAAACAGTACCGCCGGAGCTTCGCCGGAGCTCCGATCGCCGTTCCGTCGACACCTAGCCGTCCAGCTTGTCCATACGTCCCTATTCATCGCAGGACGTACAGTGTCCGTACGGTTACTGTTCACCGTCCGTACGGACACTGTTCGCGCCGTTCCATACGGCCGTCGCGGCCATCACCGACACCTCTCCGGCCACCATTCCCAGCCTGTCCGTACAGTGTCTGTACGGGGGGGAGGGGGGGGGGTACTGTTCACTGCGTCCGTACGGGGTGTCACTGTTCACGCCGTCCGTACGTCGCCGGCGACGCCGCTCCCGCTGCTGCCACTGTCCCGGTCCGTTCCAGCCTCGTTCTGTCTCTCCTTTTTGGGTAAGTGTCTCCCCCAAAAAACTACCTAGGAGCTCGGGTATTTCGTGACTCGTTTAGGACCCGGTTTAGGCGATTTTGTGACTGTTTTAGGGGCTGTTCGGGACTGATTTGAGTGACTGATTATTTGGTGGTTGCGGACTGATTAGGCGAAGAATTTTGAGGTTTAGGGAGCTTGGATTAGGGCTGTGATGTTGAGGTTTGATCGGAATTAATTTGTGCGATTAATTATTGGGATTGTGCCTTGAATGGAAATTTGTGCGTGATTGTGCGATTTGTGGTAGTTGGCTGATTTGGGATTGTGTTTCGGGTTGTGTACGTGTGGTCGTATATGTCACGTGTGTGGCCGTGAGGTGTGATGGTGTGGCAGTGCGATTGCGCAATATGTTCGCGTGCCAAGAATGTGTGATTGTGCTTTGGGATCGCGTGTCATATGTGTATGATTGTGTGGTGTGCTTGCGTGGTGAGAATGTATATTTGCGAAGTGTATGTGAATTGTGAAATGTGTGTGCAATGTGGAATTGTGTTGGGTCGTGTGGTTGTTGGCCGTGTGTAAGTGTGGTTTGAGTGGAACGAGGATATGGAAATGTGGTTTGGTTGGAAAGGTCCGTCCTGAGGCGTGTACGTTACGCGGGACGATGCCGTCCCTGACGAGGTGACGATGCCCGGCCTGACGAGGTGTCGATGCCTGACGTGGTCAGAAGACCGTTGGCCTAATGCGTTTTACGCGGGCGCGGTAGAAGGAAAGTGTGTGTAGGATTCCGTCCTGAGGCGTGTACGTTTACGCGGGACGATGCCGTCCCTGACGAGGTGACGATGCCCGGCCCGACGGGGTGACGATGCCTGACGAGGTCAGAAGACCGTTGGCCTGATGCGTTTTACGCGGGCGCGGCAGTGGTGGAAAGGTTGACAATGAGTGGGATTTGGCAAGACAAGCGAGAGGATTGTGGAAAGTGACGCATGGTGTGAGTAGCGTGCGAGTGTGTATCGCGTGATGTGATGCTTAATTATGGGGTAGAAACTGCTAGGCACGGTATGGGACGTGCCCAAGTGGTTTCTGTCTTATAATTAAGGCACGCGCGCGTCTGTGATTCCTTGCTGTGATGTGTTGGCTGTGTTATTGTCTAACGTGCAGGAACGTGCGTGATGGATTCCAGGTAGGGTCGCATGTGATTGTTAGTTTGGCCGATCGTTGTGTGTTATGTGTGTTTTCGTCTGGCGGTACGTGAGTGCCTACGTGGGGTTTGGGGTTGTACACTTATTGAGATTCGTCTCACGGTTGTATAACCGCCACTTTCAGACCCCCGGCCCTAAACCCGGGAAGTGCGCCTTTTCTTTTTGGAAGTCCGGGGAGCTGCTGTTGGTGCCCAGTGGAGCTGCAGGTGAGTTCCAGAGATTCAAGCCAGAAATTCAGAAGCAGAATGGAAGAGGGCGACCCTTAGGTTTTTCCCTAGGGTGTTTTAGGGGTTGTATAACTTGGGTTATCCGATAGTGAAGTTAAGATAACCAAACCCCTGAACTTTTGTTTAAACGGTGACTGAGGATGTTAGTCTGTATTTATGTCTGTAATATGATGTTTGTATATTTGGTGTTGTATGAATATGTGGTTGCTGGATTGTTCTGTTGTTCTACCCCGTTGTCGTCATTATTTGTCCGGGGTTTTGTTATTCGCTTCCGCATGTGGCTCTGATGTTTGGGTTGGGTCGGCGACGTTCCTGGGACGTCGCATCATTTCGACCGGAGCAGGGGATGTCGCGAGCTCGTTGGGGTTCGGGGCGTGACAGGAACTCTTCCTCTGGAGTATTAGTCTTGCACCAAATTCTGGCTTTTTTAAGCCTCATTAATATTTGTTTGACGGACTCTACAGATGGTTGTCGTATCTTGCCAGGTCGACCACCTATACCCCGGGATCAGTTGAGAGAAATATGTCTAGAATCGGACTTGCATGTCTCGCCAATCCCTAACCGAATTCTCGGGCAGATTGAGGTACCAATTGAAAGCTGGTCCTGACAGTGAACTAGGGAAGAGCCTTAACTTTGAGAAAGTCATCAACAGAAATTTCTTCATTGTTCAAGCAATTTGCACGATGGCCGTGATTTCACCTTTGCCGGTAAACAAAGCGAATTCAGAATCGCTATACGCCCTGGAGAAGGGATAGTTTCTGTCGATGTGATCATGGCATGGTTTCCTATACACAATCGTATTATTCCTTCGAGATCTAGGTCCATACAGTTGCTCTAATATTCTTGATCGATAGGATTAGCTACTCTTGGTTCATTTCCATCGAGTCCTTTTTCAGGAATTTCTCTATTTCGGGCCTCCCTGGGGCCAGGTGTAGTTCTCTACTTCTGCTGTCATCATTGACATTGGCCTCTCTAGGGGCAACTTGTGATGGTTCCGTACTCATAAAGGGTGGCTCATAGTTTCCAGGCCCTTCTGGGCTAAAGCCAGGC